ACCTAGCAAGTAACAAATTAATCTTAATATATAAAACTACCATATGGTTGTACGTACGAAGGCTCACAAATTCAGTACTTTGCTGCAACCTCGTGATATTTTACATTCAATGGTTTACCAAGTAGAAATGTTTTAGCTAAATTGGTTGTAGCAATGTTCACTTTTATGCATTTGAATTCGTATTATCTTATACGTAATATAGATAAATTTAGTGTAAAACATCGATCAATCGTACAAAAAGGAAATTAGTCTACCAATAATTTCATTTTGACTCTCACTAAAACATACAATATGTGTTTGTGTGCATGTGGGGGTTTTATAAACGTATATGAATCGTATGATTTGGTGGTTTGTCACAAAACTGAATTGTGAAATCGTTTTTCATCAAAAAATCATATTATAATTTATATGCAAGCAAAGCAAAAGCCCGCATGCTTGAGCATGTTACATGCAATATTTGATTATTGTTATTCATTTAGACGGCTTGACCTCTGCTGATTTATTACATAAAATAAAAATAAAACAATATAATATATAGTTCTTATACGTGCTTATAAATACTTTTTTAAGAAAAAAAAAATCAGTTGATGGCTTAATCACGATAGTTCATCTTTTTTGGAACTAAAAAGAATCACAAAAACATTTAAGCCTCTTCCTGATCACCATCGTTTGATTCACCATGGCTCGAAATACAAGCCAATATCTGCAGTGCTAGAGTAATTAAGTAGGTATTATGTACGTAATAGATAATATTAACCTCAGATTAATATTATTTCTCATTCCAAATTCTAATGCTGCTAACATCTTACTATATCTTCAGGTTACACCAAACAAATTAAGTTAACAAAAAGTCAAGAATTTGTTTTATATTCAGCAAATTCATTGAGATCCACTAATTATGAGGTTTTCTATTCATCTCTGCTACATCATCGTAAAAATGTCTACTTCTATTCACACACTTATTTTTATCCTTTTTACATTTTTGTTAATTTTTTGCTGTTGATATTCAATTTATTCGATCCAACAGTTGAAAATGAGTGTATGGATATCACTGCTCTAAAATTAGTGTATGGATAGCACTGCTCTAAAAAAAATTGATTTCATACCTTTCCTTTTGAACGGTGCTATCCACACATTCATTTTTACCTCTCGCACACCCTTTGTTAATTTATATCCTTTGATTTTCTTTAATTCATTCGATTTGACGACTATAAATTAAGATGGGTGTGTGAGAAGTAAAAAGTGACGTGTGGATAGCATCACCCTCCCTTTCTTATACAAGCAATAGGGGGAGGGTTAATACTTCAGGTGCAAAGATATGGTACTCTTGATACTTGAATTACAGACCCTTCATATCATAGCTTCGTTTTTTATTGGAACTTTTTGTTTTATAATAAATCGGGGTTTAGTTTTTTTATTTTTTTTTCTTTGACAAATGATATGTAATTATATTAAATTTATTTAAACTACGAGAAGAGGATTTCAAACATGAATACAAATGGTGGAGTACACTACTCTGATTAACTTGACTACACACCAGTCTGTTAAAATTGAACTTTATTTAAAGGCCAATTTTTTTTCGTGATCCCTGTGGTGACACTCCACTTTCGATGTGACCATTGTGGTGAAAAATCTTTTAATTAAACCCTCGTGGTGGGCCTTGTTAGCAATTGAGGTTCAAATCCAAATTTCCGTTAGTCTTCCGTTAAATAAACTCACATGACTAGCACATGATGGGTCAAATTCGTCATTTCAATCCAAATTACATCTTATTCAATGGACATCTAGTATAATTTAGGATTTAACTGAAATTAGATTTTACAAGAAAAAAAAAAGCTTGAACGCGAAGACTGAAACTAAACATGTAAAACCACGTCAATGGCTAGGGGAAAAGGTGAAGGTGAAGTCGGGCCTAATTTCTTAGGTATAATTTAATTTCGTTTGGAAATCCTAATACTTCTAATATACCATTGGTTTTTCAATGCCAACACATCTTTGGTCATGAGTTAGAGTCTTAGTTTTAGTTGAATTTTCATTCTTGTATCAATTTGTACCAGTTTGAATGCATAAATGCCTCTCAGTTTTGTCTTTAATTGGTAATGTCGTTTTATGCAGGCCCTAGTCGGCCAGTACACAACCTTTCAATTTTTTTTCTTAATCTTCTTTGAATTTTAATTCTTTAAGTTTCTTACTCTCCTGAAGTTCATATGTGGAGGGTAGACCTGAAGATTGAATTTTCTACGATGCCTTTCACCCATTGTCTTTAATTCTATAATGCCTTTCACCCATCTGAATGCATATATATTGCATTTCACCCATTGTCTTTAACTCTTTAAGTTATTCTTGTGCCTATGTGATTTTTCTGCATTATATAGTTTGAGATACATGTGCTATCAAATTAGGGTGATGTTTAGTAACGGTGGAGGAGGTCCACTAATGGCTATGGCGCTGGCTGGGAGCCTAAAATGAGATATAGAAACTGCTGGGTTTTTTTTTTATCTTTACAAGTATCTTTTATTTGTAATTTTATTTTAATTCAATCATGTTTATGTCTTTTTATTTTTCAAAATAAATTAACTTAATTTTGACCGATCCACATGTGATAGTCACATAATTTTATTTAATGGAAGACTAACGGAACTTTGGATTTGGACCTTAATTGTTAATAGGGTTCACCACGGGGGTTTAATTAATAATTTTTTCACCACAAGAGTCGCATTGAAAGTGGTGTGTCACCACATGGACCACAAAAGAAATTTGGCCTTATTTAAATATTACTATTTTAGTAAATTTGATTTTCTTTACTTTTGATACACATTTTGAGATATTATTAATTCACATATGCATGTTTGACCTGGCTCAGCAAGTGAGGGAAAGCTTTAGAGGAGAACACAAATGCCATGCACATCAAGTATTTGCCAAAAGCATTATTAATTAATCATATATTTATTTATGAGCCAAGCAGCATGAAGTTTTCAATTTGAAGCAAGCAATGCCTTTTCCCCCTTTCCACCGGGCAATGCTCTTTCCCTTTCAAGTTAGAGCAAATACTCCATCATTACATTAAACATAATCAATAAGCTCAAAAGTATAATGTTATTGCAATGGTGTTTTATCACAGTGGCAAAAAGCGATAATGCTTATGCACTCTAGTGCAGATTTGATCCCACCGATCACCCTCCCCTTAACATTTAACAATTTAACCTACTAATGCTATCGTTTGTCAAAAAAAATAGATACAACATTGTTTAGCCAGATAACCAAAAGTATTACCAAACTTATTAGCATAGGTGGGTGTTTAATTAGTGTTACCACATTGTACACTGTCATTTACTCATTTTATGTTAATCCAATTCTTAATTAGCAGTTTTTATAGGAAAAATGATATATAGTATATTAATGATGAAAATGATTACGACTTAAGGGAGAAAACTTGTTTCGAGTCATAGAAAATTAGACGAGCTAAACTACAGATAAGATCCTGGATCACAGATAACAAAGCAATTTACTTCTTCACCTGTTCTGAGCAATTGAAAAGTTCATACCCTACCTAGAACGGCACCGTCGTTTGCCTAAATACTCGGACTGCTAATGTTTTAATAAACAGTTAAATGTGAGGAAATTCTTATGTGTCACATATGTTATAATGGCAATTTGAGATGACTAATGGAAGGAAGGAGAGGGCATTGGAATGATATGACCCCAATTAGGTCAATTGTCTCCCCTAAACATTATGCATGACCCAAAGAAGTCATGAAAAGACAAGGATGTAGAAGGCCATGTTCATTTTATATGTTTTTCTATATAGTTAAGAGTATGTATTATATATGTGTGTGCGTGTTAATAAGACTCAAATATGTAGATGGGGTGTATATTGCTTAAAGAAGGGGGAGTGAATCTATCAGTGGATTATTACATCATGTGATGGTGATAATTAAGAAAAATGATTCAGGCATATAAAACTCGATTAGATATGGTTTTCGATAAAGCGCTTTTACTCAGCAGTATTTTTGTCGAACAATGATTGACTACTCAAGGATGAGTAGGAACTCATACTCAAAACTCTTCGTGTTCGAATCACATAACTTTGTACTTATGATAAGAACCGTTCATATTATGAATCACTTTGTAAATATCATCTCTGCAAAAAATGAATTAAAACTAAGGTCGTTTAGTTTGTTTATTATAGCAAATCCATAGACAGTTTGTAATGCTCTTATCAATTCCGTTCATTTGTTTTTATAAAATTCGATGACTAAACGACATTAGTTTTAATTGACTTTTTACAGAGGCGATCTTTATAAAATGATTTATAATATGAATAGTTCCAATCATTTACACGGAATTCTATTAATCGACAACGAACAGTTTTGAGTAGAAACTCATAGTCATTCTATGAGTAACCAAGTATTGCTGGCTTTTGTCAGTAACACTTGTTGTTTGACATGCAATCAAATAAGTGTTTTTACACCGTAAAGAAAAAAAAAAGCGCTTCAATAATAAATGAAGGTCATTCTTTAACAAATAGAGAAGTACGGCTTATGGAACATACAATAAGAACTTTCTAACAGAAGGCGGCTTAGGTAGCTGCATAATGCACAGCAGTCAACGAAATAATTCAAAATTCGGAAGCAGAAACGAGAGAAGAAAACAAGAAGTCGAATTAATTAATTAGTGAGTTGAATTTTGTAGGTGTAGGTGTCATCCAAGATTAAACAAATGCAATGGAATAAGAAAGCATGGTCAATGTGCAATACCCTCATACGCCGTCACGAAAGATATTCAAAAGCATGATAAATCCCATATTCTAAATTAATTGTAGCTTTATTTATATTATAGTATAGTTTTATATTGAGTTGAATTATAGAAAGAACTAGCGTTTTTTGCCCGCGCGCTGCTGCGGGAATGTAACATCAAATGAAATATAAGTATTGTATATAAGAATTATAAGTGTCAGAATATGAGGCTAAATGGCCAAAAATGTGTTGGAAGCATTGTGCTTAGATATAAATAAATTATTTACATAAACATGTACCAAGTATTTACATAAATATATAGTAGTTGTTGACAACTCTATATACCTATAAAGAGTTGTTCAAAACATTGAACAACTAAATCTCAAAATGTTTAGCTCAAACGAATAAACACATGCTCTATAAATACAGAGAGCTGAGTCATACAACCCAAAACAGCAAAAACAGAATAAACATGCTTCAAAACCCAGATAACAAAAATCACAAAAAATGATCAATTGGGAGCTCAATTAACAGAAAATGAAAAAAGGAAGAGTATTAGAGATAAGGAAGAGTGTTAGAGATTCACGGTTCTTACCCAAATTTGAGACCACCCATAACAATTTCAATTTGTACATTCTTAATCAGCTTCACCAAGACGAATCTTAAACATGCAACACAGGAATGAATCAAATAATCCGAATATGGACCCAAACTTAAATAGCTTACCTTTGCGTAGCGATTGATTACTCATTTTCCAGAACACAATAAATGAAATTCAACCGTTTTTAAGGGTAACAAAATTCATTGATCTCCCTCTTATGGTAGAGCCTATAATCATCTTCTTCTTTCTCTTCACGACCATTGTTAATATATCAAGGTCAAAATTGTCTGGATACTTGTCTTGAATTCCAGAAACTGGGATTGTGAAAAAAGAAATCATGTTTGAGTTGTTCTGCTAAGCATAGTACAGTAAAGTGAAATAATGTTGGGAAACCATCAAAAGAGACCCACCTGGAAGCAAGCAGAACAAACGTTATGACTTCTATCATCAAAGTTGAGTAATTGATCGATATATATATGACTCTAGGAAAATTGCAGCTCTTAAGGCAGATTTACGACAGTGGGTTTCTCAAGGATTACAATCCGAGCCTGCATCATGGCACAGGTGATGGCAAAATATGATATCAATAAATGAAAAAAAATTCAACAGCCATCAAGGGTACAAAAAATTTAAACCCAAGATTCAGATCGCACTATTCAATCCCAAAAACCAAATAGTACATTTAACCGACCTAACACGATGGAAGGCAGAAATCAAATCTTGGAGCGGTGAAATTTCACGTATACATGCAATATGTTCATACCATTTTCCAAGCCATTTTCAAGTGAAAGTTGTAATTTTTATGTGTATTTACAATCTTGCACATTGGATGAATTTTATTGATGATGATATATAAGGATATAGTCACAAAGTCAGTCATAAACATTGACTACCTTGAAAGAAGGACCAATATATGATCGAGAGAGTGAGGGGAGGGCGCTCAAATCTACCAGTGATCAAAGTAACAAACCAGTCATCACCAAATGCTTTAACCGAAACACGAAATAACCACCAAACATCAGAATTCCAGAAACCAAAAATACAAAGCAAACAATTACAATAAAATTAGTATTTAGCATAATCAAATTAACAAACAATAACGTGAACCTTCATAGTTGCCTCCAGGCCAAATCTGGATCTATTCTGATGATTGATGTCTGGTTTACAAAGTTTCCAAGCAACTGGGACATGAAATCTACCTCCTCAACAGTTTAATCCCACTGAGAGAGGTCCATTCTCCCTCTGAAACAGCTTCAATATATACGCTCAATTTTTTCCCAAGGAACTTCCTCCATGCAATATTGAAATTCCAACTCATGCAACAATATGTAAGCACTTTCATCATTCTTCCAATTCCTATTTACATTCAACCACACAAAACAAAAAAACTCAATTCTTGCACACCAAACCGGATAAAATCCAAGCATAATCAGATTTTGAAAACCAAATCATCAAAAAATTCAAAATTTCTAAAACTTTTCGATTAGTTTTCGACTTACAATGCTGTCTGTAGCTTTTCCAAACCCAACAGAGGCAACCACGAAGCAAGAGCATAGAGCAGGTCCCTTGGAAGCACCTGCAAACTATATATATATAATTTGCTATAATACCCAAAAAAATTAAATTAAATTAAAAATTGAGTGGAAGCCACGACCAAAGTGTAAACTTAAAGAAAACATCCAAACCCCAGAGAAAAAAAAACAAATTCTTTCAGAAAAATCAAAGAAATTCAATCAGGTAATAAATCAATTAAGTACTTAATTCCTTGGATGCCTTGAATAAATATAACACTCCCAAGATAAATAATTAACTGTCCAATATTATATTTTTCCTATTTCTTTCTTTTTATTCTCGGGTGAGAAACAAACCCATAAACAAATAATTGAAGAAAACATATAGAAAATATTGGGGAGTAGTTACATACAATATGCTGAATTCTTCTTTGCTCAACGACAAACCTCAGAGAAAATCAAACCTCTTAAACAACAAAATCCAGCCAGAGAACTCAGTTTTGCAGTAAGTCGTAAACACCATGCGAGATAGCAAACGAAAGGCAGATGTTTAGCAGTGAACAATAGGGAATACTCCAAGAATCAAGCCCAGGAAACTTCAAATCCATTGCAACAAAAGATATATGGAAGTAGTACTCTAAAAAAAGCCTATCATAATCAATTAATTAATTAATTGGAATATTTTAGAGCTGTGATTTGCTACATGGGAAAGGGATGAGTTTAGGAAAAGTTGATTAGATTTGGAATCACAAACACTTCGGAGGGATTTTATGATAGTTCTCTTAAAACCAAAAGAAAATATTAGGGTTTCTTAGTTTCTTACCCAAATCCACCAATTTGAATCAAATCTCTGAAGCCGAGCTTCAAATCCGTCTCAAATCGCCTCCACGAACAAGATTTTTGGAAGACTGGAAACGCATAGAGAGGCAGGCCCTGTATTTTTTGTATTTTGAAACGCAATCCACCTTTTCCTATTGACCCTTCACAGACTTCTCCAAGTAACCTGCAGAGAGAAACAATACCCATTATACATTTTTTCAGATGGATTTTGAGAGAGAGAGGATAAAGATTAACGTTTTAAGGACACATGAAAACTAATTTAATGCTGAGATTTTCACAGGAGAAGCAAAAGAAGAAAATAGAGTGCGACGGAAGCAGAGATTTGAGTGAGAGAAGTGAACACAAAAGGAAAAATCTAGAAGTTGTAGTCAAAGCATAGGTTTGGAGAAGCAGAGATGAGCGATCTGATTTTTTGAATGAGAGAGTGGAATCAAGTAGAAGAGTCGAGAAACAGAAGGTGAAGCGATGAGAGACACGTGCAGCAAGGGTAAATCCGCCACTTTGCTGTACATAAACGGAAAACAGAGAAGCAAATAAGGGCATTACCGTCATTTTACTGTTCACAAACAGTGAATAACAGTGCACCCGAGTTTGGGTTTTAGTATATGTATAATGTCTTAATAAGAAGAACAATTTATCGCCTAAATGACACATTTTATTCATAATACGTTATTATAAAATAAATAAATAAATTGTCGCATGCAATGCGACACTAATATTAAATAAGATGTACGAAAGATGAATAGAGTGTACATATATCATTTCTCTTAATTTCTCCAGTGAACCAAGAATGGCAGCTCCATCCCATAGTAACCATCAGTCCATAAAGTTAGACAGCCCCCACTGGGCCTACCCTCTCGCTTTTAAGGAGAGATTTGTCAGTATGCTCAAAACATGAAATTATACACTACATGTAATTATACAAATGGAGGAAGAAAAATATTTCAAGTATTTCACCACTTGTATACTTACATGTGATATATCGTCCCATGTTTCTAACTGGAAAAATCTCTCCGCATTTGGAAGACTATATAAGCTTCATGGGGAAGGTCCGATGGCGCGCCAAGTGATGAGGTACATGGCTCCAGCGATGATGGCGTCGACGAAGAACCATGGGGTTGAGTCGATGGAGTCGACGGAGAACTATGGGTACGTTTGTCATTTAATCATTCGTTCAATTCTGCCCTACACGTACCAAATGCGGAATAGAACAAATGTCCCATTCCATCTTGTTCGTACCAAACGTAGCACGGAACATTCGTTCTGTTCCATTCCATTCCGTCCCATTCTATCCCATTCCACTCCGTCCTATTCTGTCCCATTCCGTCCCATCCGCGAACCAAATTCAATCTATACTAAAAGAGAAAAACGCCTGAATCACTGTTCATAAGCACAATGAATTTCCGATTTTTCCCTCGCTTATTTGTCTGTAATTTCAATATTAGTCTAATTTAAATCTGATTGAATCTAGACCGTTCATTGTTTTTGGGCAGTGTGATAAGAAATCAGTCCGTCCATATTTTGTAATCTTATTCTCTCTGCTGATCATCATTCTTCCTCTCGCTCTCTCAACATCCCGAAAACCCCCAACCCCAGCCACGAACCCAGGTACACCCAAAACAATCACCATTCTCATCCCTTCGACCTCACGAACTCAAGTCTGAGCCCATTCTTACTTTCTAGGTCAAGATTTTGTGGCTTTCATGTACGATTTGGTGAAGGTTTGAAAAAGATTGAAGCTCAATCCGTTACCTAGATTCCGGCGAGGTTTTCCGGCAAATCCGCTAGCTTCCCTGTATTTTTTGAGGCCCTCACAGTCATCCAATCACCAAATCTTAGGTATGTTTTGATTCTTTAAAATTCTAAAATTTTGACAATCGTTATTTAATTCATCAAATTTTGCACTATAAATGATGTAAGAGTTAGTCTTCAGGGGTTTAAGAGAAGGGTGGTTTTACATGAGTTTACATCTGAATCCGACCGCCTCTTATTTCCCCCTTCACTTTCACGGTTCCACCCCAACATCATCGGTAAGCTTTGAAACGTTTTTATGGGTGTGAATTTCTGAATGCATGTCTAAACTTTGATTGGAATTTGGTTGTTTCCTCAATTTCCATGAACCCTTCTCACAACTTCATCTAAAATGTTCTGCATGTAAGATCTGTGTTCGTGTAGGTCATTTCAAAGGGATTTCAAGCTGGGTAGCAGAGATTTGATTCAAATTTGTGGATTTGGGTAAGAAATTGAGAAGGATACAAGGAAGCATGTGGAGACAAGTGCAACAGAACACGTGCCGATACATCCACTACTTTGTCAACAGCAAAAGTATCCCATATCAGCAGGGTCGAATGTACTCTAGATTTGATGGACTTGTTTTGACCCTCAAATTCTTCAGTCGGCCTTATACTCTGGCGGAAACAAGAAAACCATCCAGCCCAGTTCAAGAATAAGCATGTGGAAAGTTACTTCTTCAAAAGCAAAAGTATCTCATATCACATTTTCTCCTTTTCTTCTCTTTATCCTTCATGCTACCTGCATGATAAGGAGAAGGATAACAATCAGCTGGAACTCGAAATCAAACTTCTGATCTGGGACTGATTGCTTGGAGCTCTGATTGCTTACCTTGTCTGTCACCTCTTTCAGCAGATCCCCTAGCTCGGCGACTTGGGGGACTCCTACTACATGGTTTGTATCGCGCTTGACCAAGCCTGAAACTACAAGTAAGCGTCAAGTGAAATTGATACATTACCTTGTGCATCTCCACCAGTTAAAGATACCACCCCTGGAGGGAGGAAGAGTACTTCCAAAGAAGATGCCACATCTACCTATGAGACAGATAAGGCAAGTGAAGACGATACCACACTTCGGTACTTAAAAGTTTTGTGATTACGAGATCATTCTTCCACAATATTTCCTAATGTCATTTGTACTAAATCATTCACTTGTACTCACTAAAGGAGAGCTTGAACCTATATACTGTGTAAACCCTTTCACAATTAATGAGAACTCCTTTACTCCGTGGACGTAGCCAATCTGGGTGAACCACGTACATCTTGTGTTTGCTTCCTGTCTCTATCCATTTACATACTTATCCACACTAATGACCGGAGCAATCTAGCGAAGATCACAAACTTAATATTTAAGATGATATTCTTTGGTGTATGCTTTTCGCAAACGATATAGTGTTGATAGATGCAGGAAGGGGTAAACGCGAAGCTTAACCTTTGGAGAGAAGTGTTGGAATCTAAAGGTCTTCGCCTAAGTCGATCAAAGACAGAATATATGGAGTGCAAGTTCAGTGCAAATGAAGGCCAAAATGAGTTAGGGGTGAGGATCGGAGATCAGGAAATACCAAAGAGCGACCGTTTTCGCTACCTATGATCTATCTTGCAAAAGAACGGAGAATTTAATGGAGATCTCACCCATAGAATACAAGCTGGATGGATGAAGTGAAAGAGTGCATCCGGCGTGTTGTGTGACCGTCGTAGGCCACTGAAGCTCAAGGGAAAATTTTATAGGACGGCAATAAGGCCGGCAATGCTGTATGACATAGAATGTTGGGCGGTGAAACATCAACACGTAGGTGTAGTGGAGATGAGGATGCTTCGTTGGATGTGTGGGCACACGAGAAATGATAAGATTAGGAATGAGGATATCCGAGGTAAAGTAGGAGTAGCTGAAATTGAAGGAAAGAGGAGAGAAAATCGGTTACCGTGGTTTGGACATGTGCAAAGAAGGCCTACTGACGCTCCGGTTCGAAGATGTGACCACATGACAGAGGTTTAGAGCAGAAGGGGTAGAGGAATACCTAGGAAAACTTTGGAAGAGACCCTAAGAAAAGACTTAGAGTACTTGGATCTAACGGAGGACATGACACAAAACCAAGCGCAATGGCGTTCTAGGATTCATATAGCCGACCCTACTTAGTGGAAAAAGGCTTTGTTGTTGTTGTTGTTGTTGTTGTTGTTGGGTAAGAAATTGAGAACCCCTAATCTTTTCTTAAGGTTTTGGGGCTTTTTTTTATGTGATTTTATGTGAAAATTCTGGTTGCCTTGAAGGATGGTAACAACCCCCCGGCGGCTAATCGCTGTACATCACACGCCGACTTACCACCAGTGCATCCGCGTCGTTTCGGATAACTGTATTTACGGAAGGTAAGCAATTTATTCTACTTTAGATTTCAAAGATTTTTGTGCAAATTAAAGTTATCTTCTGGGGATTGTTCTGGAGATGCAAGATTTGAAGTAAGATTTGAAGTAAGAGAGAGAGAAATAGGGAAATTAATAAAGAAAAGAAAGCACATAGGTAAAACCCCAACAAGATTATGTACAGAGGTAATTGCGAAATATTTAGTGGTGCGGCAAATATTTCTTGGCTAAATTGGGAGAGTTATATTTTATTTAAGTTTTTATTTTTATTTTTATAGCTTTTGGTAAAGATTAAGTTTATGGTATTTTTGATCTTCAGAGGCCTAGAGGCTGATGAGAGCCTATTACCAATCTGCTACTACTCTAAACCTTTTCAGGGCGTTTGCCTTTATAAGTGACTAAGCAGAGGGTCACGTAGCAGAACTTGGATTTCATAGATCACAGAGAGCAGGGTGATAGGTATGTTTCCTCACTTTTACCATTTTTGAACTTAGATTATTGATAAATTAAGCTCAGAGGCAGAACGTGGAAACAGTATTGCCTGGTCTTCTAAATTTTAATCTCAAAGGCTGTTGGTCATAGTTTAGAGGATTAAGTTCCAAAAATAGTTTGGAGTTTCGTTTTTACCAAGATTCATTCTTTTTCCATTGTATTTTCAATTTGTAGGCTTTAAAAAACTTAAGTACGTTGAATGTGTGGTTTAGGACTGATGGATGTTTTTTGAAGCTTAAGTGAGTATAAGGTCAATATACAAATCTGAGGTGAGAAATTATATACCAACTACATAATTACAAAGGGCACCAGTTTCACTTGAGGTCATACCGATGCTGTTAGGTTGTTTTTCAAGGTTTTGGAATGAAATAACTTTTTTTTTACCAAAGAAACATAAGAGATGATAACAACTATATTAGACCTAACTTCTATATGGAGAGCAGGTATAACACTGACAAATTGAGATTGATTCGGTATAGACTGAACCATATCTTAACAATTTTTTTCCCATCTTCAATTAGTAGTTTCTCTAACACAGAACTATATCTTATAAATATTGCATAATATAGATATAAATATTTCTTTTGGGTTGTCGATGAGGCCAACTGGAAAATAGAGAGTTTATTTAGTATGGTAGCAAAATATATGCAATTTAGAGTCATTCAATTCTTATGTCAATTTTTTTTTTTTCAGTTCATCGTTGTCATCCAAGATGGAGGAGTTACGTATATGGGTGTCTTTAGTAGAACAAATCTTACTTTTTGAGCTTTGTACAGTTTTAGACGTAAAAGTCTCCTTGGGATAGGACCATAGCTTTTGAAAAACAATCCCTAAGGATGACATACTAACATCCTCAACTTTTTACATGTAATATATGAATGTAAATAGAACTCTCTGGCTATGGCGTACGACCATCCCAATTTTTCTCATGTATATAAGCCCTACTTTTTACACGTTTAAGATCATTTTGAAACCCGCAGCATCACGCGGGCCTCACTTGCTAGTGCTACGTAGATTACAAGATGAGGACCACTATTGAAGCAACAAACAGATTGGGCCAAATTGAAAAATCTTATCATGTTCTCGTAAATCATTGTTAAAGCTCATAAGAGCCTGCCCAAATGGATTTTTAGCGTTGTTGGAATGTCCAGTTGGTTTGGTCATATTGACGTATTATTCATCTCCATATTGCCAAACATTTATAAATGAAGACATAATAGCTCGCTCAAGCGCCAACCGGTTAATAAGTAAATACGTCACTAATCACTCGTTTAAACTACTACACAACATCGTCTGATTGACTAAAGACACATCGTCTCATTGACTACTTTTATAGGAAACACTTGTACTCGTAAACACTCTTAGAAACAATTCCAAACAGGCCAACACACCATTTCTATTCATTACTACACACAAAAGTTCGACAACATAATAAAATGTAAACATAGCTTGTCTCACGACATTCATTACAGTGCGCTCCTGCTGTTGCTTTCCGATCACTTCTTTTTTGAAGCACTTCAAGATTCTGTTTGGGTACTTCCGTTGCTAATACAAATTGAAGTGACCTGCATTACCTTCCAGTGACTTAAAATTGGCACTAATCAAGAACATAGATCCGAGAGGCAATGTCTTGGACCAACCAATCGAATCCCTCAAGCAGTCCCTCGCCGGTGAATGCACTGCAGCCGACAATTTGCCAGTGCCGAGTTTTATCCATTGCCTCCAAGTTCAAAACCTTAGCAATTTCTTCCGGAGTAAGGGCACCTTTTATGTCCTGCTTATTTGCTAGTATCAACAAGGATGATCCCGAAAGCCTCTCCTCTTTCAAAAGATTGTCGAGTTCCGCTTTGCAGTCTTCTAACCTTCTAAGATCTGAACTGTCAACCACCCATACCAGACCATCAGTTTGCTCGAAATAGTTTCTCCAGTACGATCTTATTGTTTTCTGGCCCCCGACATCCCATATGTTGAGGGTATACTTTTGGTAAATGATGGTCTTGATGTTGAAGCCGAGTGTGGGACTGACAACGCTGGTGTCCTCTCCATTAATTCTCAGCACAATGGTTGTCTTTCCGGAATTGTCAAGCCCAACCATGAGTATACGTATTTCTTTTTCCTTCCTTTTAATTTTTCGAATAATGCTGAGAAGCCCCATTTGTTCCAACAAAAAATCAGATTGAGCTTCTCCAAGTAGGCTTCGAGGTTCAATGCAAAAACCAATTGAATTTTTTTCTCAAAACGGAGACTTCACTGAGGCTTTCAAATTCTGAGCTGTTAAATTAGAGAAAATGAAATTGACAAAGGCATATTGGCAGTTCAAGCTTTAATGTGTGCTATACAACCAACAGAACAAAAACAATAAATTCGGAGGACAACAGAACTTACTTTAGTCATCTGTCGTTGATGGTAGGTGGTGGTTGTCAGCTCAGCTCAGTTCTGCTAGGAACAGGTGAAGTATGAAGTGCTTAGCGCTCGGCTTACGTGATTATTCTGTTTTACAGAAGAATACACAAATAAGAAATTTCCCTTATACAACAAGAAAACAATAGGAACTTCAAGAGTGCTATTTACTGCAAAGCACACTTCTGCTCAAAATATTTCATGAGGACCGATGAACATAGTATTTAGGACAACACAATCACATGTTCTTGATCCGTTAGCTAAGAAAAGCTTAAAATGCTAAAACCAAAAAAACATGTAGTTACTAGTTAACGTTGCGGTGTGGCCTATGAAGTAAAAATCATGCAGATAAACACTTATATACATGCTCACAGGAACAAGAGATGCATATATACTGGATTAGTAACAAAACTCAGCTTGAAATTCAGAAAGTCTAACGCAAAAAACAAGAAGCTGTCGCAAACATCGAATACAACCTAAAACAATTACTATACTAATTTCTACTTTAGCTGTAGAGGTTGAGCTGGTGATGGCATTACAAGGAAAAGAAACGAAGCAAACAGAACAATACATTTCGAAATTGTCAGTCCACTGCAATGGTGTGGCGCGAAGGATTCATCCGTCTCAAAACACATTATATTCAGGATATGGCATTAGTGGCACGGAATTGCCAAAGGCCGGGAAACAAATGCAGAAGAGGTACCATAAGCATCATAAGAACATCACAACACAAAATCTACTCACAAGTTGTTCAATTGAGATTAAAAAGCACAAGGTCTAAAACTTCACAAGTAGTTCAATTAGGCCTATTTATCACAACACAAAATCTAATTGCAAGTAGTTCGATTGATCAAGTTCAAGTGTTCAACCATACATCAACAACAACCAAGTCTTATCCCACTAACGGGGTCGGCTATATCGGCTGTATGGTCCTAGAACGATACTGCGCTCGGTTTTGCACCAGTCTTCCCATCAAGTTCAACCACACATAAAATTAATTTTCTCAAAGTCTAAAACTTTAAAAGTATAATGTAAAATAAAACCAAACCCAAATGTAATCGTATACTCACAAGAAGTTTAGAGAGAGAGAGAGAGATAACTAGAAGGGTTGTGGTGAGTTGTTGGGGCTGAAAATCGAAAAGTGGGTTTGGGGGATCTGATGAAAATGAACGGTGGCGATCGATATTGGGTATATAAGGCGGAGATCAGAGCATCCGAGAGGGAGAGTGAGTGGTGCCTTGGTCGCCATTGTTGCAGGTTTGATAGTTTCAGTTTCAAAGATTAAAGCTTTAACACAAGAGAGAGAGAGAGAGAGAGAGAGCTTACCCACCTGGGAAATTTGAGACTGACTCGGCGTCGGCGGTTCCCGGCGGATCTGATGGAGTGGGAAATAGACACACCAACTCTGTGTACGAGAATGCAAAGCGTTTCGACACGGAGCTGAGTCGATTCATCCAAAATTGCACATTAGCCACACCAACTCTCTGTATAATTACATTTTGGTTCTCAGAAAATTGTACGTTTCGACACGGAGCTGAATCGATTCATCCAAAATTGCACACCAGCCACTAACTCTCTGTACAATTACATTTTGGTTCTCAAAAAATTGTACAATTACATTTTGGTTCTCAAAAAATTGTACGCTCGCATTTTGGTTCTATTAAAAAATTGCAGAAGAGTGAATGGAGGAGAGAGGTGAGTGTGTATTTAGTGATGCTAGAGAAAAATTAACTTAAATATTGGTATGTTTGGACCCTTATTTGCAAATTGCTTTTGGAAACGTCCTCGGGCCAATATGTTGTTTTATAGTATTTCTTTTCTTTTCCGTATAAATTTTCATATTCATCGATTTTCTTCTTAAACAATTATAAATAGCCAATGCTCGTATCGTTATGTTTACACATTCTTTCTAAATTTTCCGTCCAAAAAAATCACATTGCCGTCATTAAATGTGAAGTTACATAAAATATGTTGAAAACATGACCGGAAGCGAGAAATTGCCACTCATAAAGTTAAGACAAAAGTGGAAAGTATAAAAATTAGCACTTCTTATAGCACTTGTCCTAAAGAAAAATCTATATCATGACCAAAAACTCACTTTAGGCTATACAGCCACATTCTTTTCCTTGCATCAGACATCTTCATGAACATCCTCCTCCAATCCGAACTCGTAAACCTCTCACACGCTCTAACATAGGCGGCGTCATCCAGATCCTCCATAGACTCGAGTACTTCCATACAATCTTCAATCGAGGCCAATTCTCTAAAAGGGGATGAAAAATCGCTCTTCTTTCTGTATTCAACCTTTGGTAACGAAGATTCAGTCTCGGCATCTGGAGATACTGCGCATACTTCCACTCCATCACCTAGCTTGGCCGCCTTCGATGTCCTTGATTCCTTTCTTGTGCGGCAATAACCTGGGGGACTTAAAGGACGGCGCTTTTGGGTCTTGCTATTACCTTCGTCTCCTTTATTTTTAGTATCTATGCCGCCTTCAGTATCAGGGCTATAGTGTGCCCCGAAGCTGGGAAACTCGGACTCTAAACCTCTCTCGACATCAGAGTTTGGAAGAGAAGCAATGGATCCAGAATGCATTTGTCCATTAGAAGGTATGTGGTTGAAGATCTCTCCAAGCACTTGATACTGCGGGCATCCCTTCCTACGAAAGCGACTAGCAAACTTGTTTTTCTGCATGTTTAGCACACGAGTTAGAGCTGCATAGCATATTACAAGACTCCAAAACAGTTCAGTTGTAAAATTTCACAAAATCATACATACCTTAAGGTAGGACTCCCAAACTTCTTTAGATGCATGTACCTTGTCGGACTCAGGGTCCCAACACATCCCCGTATGAGCCACAAGCTTTGCAAACTCACGGTATATCTTGCGCAAGCGATTGTACTTTGCCTTCAATTTTTCACGAGCGTATCTTTTGCCAAATTTGTTAAAAAGCTCATCTTCTATTGCATCCCATGCATTCTTATCCACAGTTGAGCCTTTCAGCCTTTTTTTTCTCTCTTCATGCAACAGGTGAATAAAATGTTTCTCGACCGTCACTGGCCAACTGGCAACATCTTCATCTTGGTTTGAGCTCATCCTACAACAAACACAAATAACCAAATCTCAAAGGTCAAAGAGAACAGAGGATTTACAAACAAAAAGTCCCCAAATATAAAATACGAACATGCCTCTAAATAACACAATCAGTAACTTTAATCAACCACTGAATCCGTAGGCAATTTACAGTCCCATTCATTACACACAGAACATAGAATCTATATGTGCTGAATGCACAACTGGCAACAATCTTTGGCTAACGATAAGCACACATAAATGCAACTTAGTTTTACGGTCAGAAAATTGGCTTCCCCAAACGAGTATGTAATAGGATAGTCTATTTACTCTAGACGTCCCTGCAAGGAATCCGAAAAGTAGTAAACTCCAGAGAATTGCACTAAATCTATGAACCATATTCCCTAGTAAATGAGAATCTCACTAAGTAATGAAACTATTAAACCATATTTTCACCAAAAATAGTTCAGCATCACACATGAAAATGTTGATTCACAGCATAATCATGTCAAAAAATGCGCTACAAGAGAGTCGAACAGATCAAATAAGAGCCAAAAGCAATATCTTCGGTCAGTAAATCGACAGCATTTTGCTCACTATTCACTAAAAAATTCACAAGTAGACCCTCGATAACATATACACTTTAGAGAAAAACGCTTCAAACTCAATAAGTTTCGAACCCAATTGAGCTCTTGAAGTATTTTTGTGTAAGTTGTCGGGGTGTTTTAGTCGTCCCACAAGTAAAATTGGCCTCTAGGCTTTATGTCTAAGAGGAGTTTTCACAAACACATTGTAAGCAACCAAAAGGCATTGCGTTTTTTATACACATAAAAAACAGAGAATTCATCTCAGAAAACAGGATACCCATTACGAACGAAGAAATTTACTGCACAGACTTTCCATATGAACGAAGAAATTTCAGCAAACCCATTACGAAAACACAATAAATTTCACGAATTTCAGAGCACAAATTAAAACCCAGCAGACAATCGCTGAGAAGATCACAAAAAAAGTAGAATAAAATTACCTTGGAGGAGGATGACCCAGGTAGTAGAGGAGAAGACAGATGAGAGAGAACTAGCTGAGAGCTGAGAGCTGAGGGAGCAGCTAGCAGATGGCTCGCGTCAATCAGACGTAGAAAAAACGGTTTCAGAAAATTCTTCGAAACGGAAACGGCTGTTTCTGAAAATGCGTTTCCGCATAAAGGTCTTTGCGTTACGTTTTTTCAACCGTGGAAAACGTTTCCAGTCCGTTTCTCAAAATGAAAAACACTTTTTGAAAAAGGTACCAAATTCGACCGGGCCTGTTTCCGATCCATCTTCGATCCAGTTTTTAAACTCAAAAACCATTTAGAATTGGAAGCTCAAGTTTCGCAAAAGATGTGTGATATTCACATATTTTATTTTACTTTTCACACATTTTTCTAATTTTTGGCTGTCGGATATGATGAATTGTAGAAAATCAACAGATAAAAATTAATAAGGGGTGTATTAGAAGTAAAATAAGATATGTGGATAGTACACCCCTTAACAAAATCTAATTTTTTGATACAAATTCTAAAATGGTTTTTGAGTTTAAAAAACTAGATCCAAGATGTGTGTCAAGCATGCACATGATCTTTTTTTTTAAATTAAAGTTTTGCGAGTTTTTATTTTACTTATCACTCGTTTTAATTAAAGTTTTGTTGTTTTCAAACACATGTCATGTAAATTTAAAAGTAAAAATGATACTCTTAACATATAATTGTACTATTATTTGTATGTGTTGACAGACATTATCACTACTAAAGAAATAATATAAATGATTGTATAACTAGATGGTAAGTGTAGCATTAAACTAAGTTGCGGTTCCCTGTCCCAAGGTAAGATCTATTCAATTGATTTCTTTTGACAAATTCCAATTCCCAAATTGGATTTAGAGATTGGGTTTGGAATTACATGTTGGTTTAAAAATTAAAGTAAAATTCTCCTTTATAAACTTAGACGAACAATACAATTGCATTCCAATTGTTTAAGAGCATTCATCCCAACACTTAAGAGGTTGGATTCCACCTCCTAGTATTGTTGCTAACTAAAATTAGTGACTAATACAAATAAGTGCAAATGTAAATGTGCAAATAAAAACAAACAAACAAAATTCAATCCAATTGTAAGTTGCTTTGAAAGAAAAAATAAAGAAATAAAAAATGGGAAAAGTAAGATGCTTATGTTGTGGTCTTGGTGACATGGTTTGCTTGAATTATAGTGGATGACACAGGAATCATTGTTTGTAAAAAATGGCAATGACCATCTGGGAATAAGTCAAAAGAAAAAAGAAAAACAAACAGAATAATCACTAATTAAAACCAAGTGATTAACAAGCAAAAAACACATGAGAGTTTCATGCTTTTGTTGGAGAGATTTGTTCGTGTATTAAGAACATAGCCAGTACACCAAATATCATAATATCAGTGGACAGACACTTAAAAAGACAAAAACATTTCCCCACTTATATTGTGGCACTGATACACTAAAGAAAACAAATCTCACTTTTATGAGAGATGTCCTACAAACGACATGATTGGGGCGCCTTTTCACAAGTTTTTCTCATTTTTTCTAGTTTTACTTGGTGTTTTTATATGGTTTTGGATTCTTATTAGACTTTTTCCCTCTAAAATTCTACTTTTATTTTTCTTCTCTTATACAAATAATATTGGGAGGGTTGTGCACTGGGTAAGACCTTTTTATACAAATAATATTGGGAGGGGAAGAATCTAATGCAGGACTTGGGTGCAATATTAGCGAGTAAATACTTTTAATTATTGGAGCTACAAGCTTCATCATCGGTTGCCAACTACAATTCATATTGCTAGCCAAAGCAAGCGTGCTGAGTAATCAAACAGCAACTTGCAATCTTATTCAATGGCAAACGACACCAACTCAAGCATTACATATTTAAAGATAGATAAAGAGAGCACAGAGAGAGGACAACTTAAACAAAGTAAGTTTATTAGGCATTAAAATTAAGAAAAATGCTAACATCAGTCTGCTTAGGTCGTGATATTAGCAAAATCCTTAAAGTAATGCATGCAGCATGCACACACAGAATTGGGAAATCACGACGTACTTCCCACCACCACGACCACCACCACCCCATTATTATTTCAATCAGAAAAACCCATCAAATCAAACGTTTAAATAACAGATTAATCCCCTACTCGCGCTTAAAGGAAGCATTCTTTCAACTACCAAGATTCGATTGCGTCGATTTGTTGAACTTGTCCTTCGTACGATCAATATACTCCGAAAATATGTCGTTAATATCCCTTTCTCCTTGAGACGTGATTGGAATCTGAATCACTACCGGTGCTGATTCAGCTGACTTGTTGGGTTGTGGTTGTGGTTGTGGAGCATCCCTGCTACTAGCATGGGAGGCAGCTTTAGGTTCCTGTGGAAAATGCACGGCTCGGCGAATTGCTCGAAATGCAGGAGAAACTGTGATGGCGCTGAAGATTTTCTCACACACTCCCTTTGAATCTGATGCAGCAGAATTATTTCCATTCTTTTCCATCAAGTAATATGAATATGTGATCAGGTTGT